TTACGAAGTACACACCTTTATTCTGTTCATCTGGTCTGTGACGTAAGAAATGTGTCCCGGTGGAATGCCGGCAACCGGAGGGGTACCTCTCGGTGTTCTCACGATGAGGTCACGGCGTCTCTTTGTCAGCGGGACCCGGGTAGAATTTAACTCAGAATTAAATTCTTATCGGGGCCCCGACGGGCCAAAAAATAGCCCGGTAGCCGCAGGGTGCCCCGCGGGGCCACGTCGGGGTCCCGCCCGAAAGTAGTAAATAACAGCCCGGGAACTACCCGCCAGGGCCCCTTTTCCCAATTGGGACCTTAGCTTAAGAGATGTCTCACAGATGGTACTCGGGAAGTGGGGTTGCTCTGGCCAACCGCGGTCACCATCCTGCCCTCCTCCTCCATCCTTCTAACCTCTTGCGTCACCAACTGCACCCTTTCCCTGGACAAAGCTTAAATAATAAAGAAATAAGCGATAGCTCCCCAATTGTTTTGTTTCTTTAATATTTTCCTGTTTTACCCTCAGCTCCAAATCTAGCGCTGGGAAAACCAACGTCCCAGTCAAATGTCGCACATAACGGGGTTGCCTCCCGAGCGACTGACGGATGCAGGGACCCGAACTTTGGTAGACAGTGCTGCACCCGCACTCCAGCGGAGGCGAACCCTTGGCTGCAAGTGGACCTCGGAACCTCGGTCAGAGTCCAGTGGGTGGTCATCATGAACCGTGCGGACTGTTGCCGAGAGCGACTCACCCCCTTCAACGTCCACATCGGAAACAATGCGCGTGTAGACCAGAACCCTCGCTGCGGCGGGCATCACACCATCCCCGCTGGTAAGAACAAGGATGCCATCAACTGCAACGGACTGACAGGACGATACGTGGGGATCCGACTGCCCGGCTATGGCCGTATGCTGACAGTCTGTGAGATAGAAGTCTACACAGGTATGTAAAGCAAACCTGTCTTTTCAGTTCTATTTTTTTTTTTTGGTATTATGACTTTTTTAAACGGCCAAAGGAAGTGTGTGTGTGTGTGTGTGTGTGTGTGTGTGTGTGTGTGTGTGTGTGTGTGTGTGTGTGTGTGTGTGTGTAAAAGAGAGAACTGGTTGACGTGGAAGAGTCAATTTTTGCATGGGAAGGGATGGAGTAAACTATGCGGTATTTACTTGCAAATCTGGCCCTTCTAGTGTGCAATATGTTTCCACCAATGCCTGCACTGCCATTGAAGCAGGTGCCTGAATGTCGCCCACGAAGTTTGCTTTTATGCCGGATAGTCAACAAGCTGGGGGAGGGCTGGGTATATTTTGGAAGTTTTGTTCCAACAGGAGTCAGCGAACTTTATGTGATCATGAAAACACCCAATATTTGGAAGGGAATGTAGAACTTTTCCTGTCAAGTTCTGCTACTTTAATGGAAATCATTCCGACTCTTTAAAAAGTCGAAAAGAGGCGAAAGAGAGAGAGAGAGAGAAACACTGACTGACAAACGTCAAACATTAAAACGTATTTTTTCTAGGTACGGTGACAAAGAGGACATCTGAAGTGCGGGAGACCGAGGGAACGGGCTGCGGAGAACATGAGGTTAGGTCACAGCAAGTAATTTTTTATAGATGGCATGAGCTGGTTTTGGAGAAAAAAACCAGGAAATTTTGTTGTCTTCTGACAGTGGTCAACATGCAGAAAATTGTCAAATTTGTCTGTTGCCATCTGGAGCTTAGATGACGGGTAAATATGAAGAGAGGTGACAAGACAAGGATCTGATTTATTATTTTGTCTTTTCTAATATAATTTGATAAAATATAGTATTTCAATCCTTGTTACATGTTATGAAAACAATTTGTACAATGATTGAAAATGTTATTCAGTGACAAATGGATGTTGTAATACTTGGCAGTAAACTTGGCACAGTATAGGTATCGTTCAATAAAATCATGTTGGATACATCAGTATGAACACATTAAAATCCATACTGGTTTATGAGGTAGGGCATACATGGTATCCTAAAGTTCAAAATACCAGTTGGTCTCTCTCTCTCTCCC